GTATGCGCTTCGCTGGTCCTATAATGGAGTGACACTAAATGGGTCGGCTCATCAATGGCTGATGACATGGTCTTACAACTGCCCCCACTTTGAAAATAATTCTGTCGCAACTCTCCCCACGTGCGCTGGTCTTGGCCCAAAAGAGGGATTGTCGCAGTTGTCAATAGAAAAATCTCATGCTGACGCAGGAATTTGGGACACCTGGTTCACTACAAAGTGGACGAACTGCGACGTAAATCTGGCCTCTCGGCTCTATCAATGAGAACGGTAGAGTTTTTCGCGGCAATATAATGGTACAACGTGCACTAGTTTCAAGCTTGAAGCTAGCATGAAGTATCCGCCCTGAGCAGAAGCACCCCCTCATAGTTTGAAAAAAGCTATTTTGGTCGGACGGGCTCATTTTCTTGGTGACAATGCGACTGTAACGCTTACGTTTCATAGACGCTCGTGAACCAGCAACGTTACATGCACCAGCACAGGAGACTCAGTTGCTAGGGAAACTGCCTTTATTTAAACCAGCTCGGCCCCAATTTTCCGATATTTTACCAATGAACTCGGATATGAGTAATGACTTACCAGTATTAATTTTTCATGCTCATCTATGCACTCGTCTTGTTTAAACCGTATGCTTTACGCAAGCTTTAGAAAGAAGCTTCAGCAAAACAGTGTATCAACTTCTATCACAGCATCAGTTTGGAATCCCCCTCAACTGTAAAACAAACAAAAAACCCAACAAACAAACAAAAGACGACTGAAACTGAATGCTCTTAAAACAACACTCACCTTGAAGATAATATTAATTGACGGCGGTAAGCTCTCTGGGTACACTGCTGCCCACAAGGCAAACACCGACCACGGCATGGCAGACACGATCATGGTCGTGAAGACAAGGGTGAGGGTGCGGGTTGCCCGTTGAGTGGCCAAACCACTTGCGCGTTTGGACGATCGTCTAAAGTGGGCAGAGTGGCCTAGTCTGTCGTGGGGGTGACGATACCCTGTTGAAGGCGCAGCCTGCTTTTGTGTTAGCCCAATCGTTCCGGGGTACTTTGCCGCTTGAACGCTGTTTTCCAGAGAAACCTCCAAGGCTGGGTTGCTCATTCCCTGGGAGACTGCAACCGAGACGCTAAACACAGAGGAGGCATTCTCCGCGTCTCTCGCTTGTTCGGGTAATTCGGCGTCAGAGCAATTACTTGTCGAGAATGGTACTTTGTTTAACGCCTTTCTCTTGAAAATGGCCCCGGAGACGGTCGGTTTTGCATTTCCTCGGTTTTTTGCGAGACCTTTGCGAATAATAGCGCAGTAGACTAGAGTGTACAGGACAACAGCCAGGCTCATGGGTGCCCAGGATAGAGAGAGCACCGTAAATGTCAACAACCCCGGATAGAAGGCGTATGGGCCGTGACAACTGGGAGGTCGCACCCGAGAGATGACCCCTGCGTACGGTAGAATAATGAACATTGGAGTCCACAGCATGACAGGGATGAAGTAACCGAGGAATATCAGGAAGCATGCGTGGCCCAGCGTCTTCTCCGACAAATGCTTCAGAGGCATGTTGGTCGCCCGGAAGCGGTCGTAGGAGATGACGAGCGTCATCATGAAGGTTGCTTGCAGGAAAATGTGATAGACATACAGTGTGCAAGTGCAGTAGGCCTCACTGAAAGGCCAGTTCTCATTGTAGTCTTCCAAGAATCCTAGTACAGGCAAAACGCCGCCACAGACCAAGTCTGCAACTGCTAAGCCTACGATGTAATAATTGGTATAGGTGCGCAGTCTCTTTGTTGTTGCGTACGCATAAAGAACTAAAACATTCGCCCAAAATGTGATGAACCAGACAGCTGCACGTATCACGGCGAAAGCAATTAGCCACGTGGATATCTTTGGCGTATCTTGGACAGGATTGGATTCGGTATAAAGCAAGCTTTTGGTCAGGGTGCTTTCATTCAGTAAGTAGTCGGTAGTGTTAGAAAGCACTGTGGAATATGATCCATTCAGGGATTCCATTGTCACTGTTAATACCAGGCTGCTGTCATTGGGCCATTCTGAAAGACCTTCACTCGACACGTCGTCGGACTCTGTTAGTAGCGTGAACAACCAGGATGTACCAGTCTCCATACTGGACAGAATTCCAAGAACTTCAAAGGTCAGTTTTGTTCTAAATTGAATGTTCGATGTGTCTGCTAATCATTCACAACGCAGGAGTTCAACAGAGAGACATACTGCTATCATGGCAAACGGAATTTTGTTACCACTTTAACTCCAAAGTTTGACAGCTTTTTGTGGCATGATACATCGCGACGTTGTAATATCTATATCAGACTGCTTTTCAAATTTCCGTGAGTTTAGACATTCATTTTACTCAAACCTTCATTCTGAATCCGGCCCACGTCGATAGCTCCTATAGCCTCTTAAGTCGATCTAATGGGTCATTTTGAGCGCACAGCAATCCTTGCATTTATGCCTGCTCAACGTACAACGTGCTCGTATGGGGATGGATTCCGAGCTGCCTCCTTTTAAGAGGATATCGCTTTCACTTCATACTCGCATCTGCCACCGCCATATCGCGTAGATCTGTCTTCCCGTCACTTGGGATTTAGAAAAATCCGTTGATAAAAGAGACACTAGAGACGATAAGACACTGTGATGTTGGCCTCTATGGAGCAATTAGATTGCTGAGGCGACATTCCACGACAAAGACTCCTACAATTTTGACGTGTTTGAATATATCTTATATAAGCGTGGATGTCTCGGGGTTCAATCTACGCGGGAAGATAATGACTGTAACTGATGAAACATACAGCAATTAGTACGCCTGTAATTAGATTTCTTGCATTGAAATCGATACGATGATGTTGCTGATACTCCGAAGACGGAAAAATGAAAAATGCCGCGTCTAGTATGGCATTAGGAAGTGCGTATACTTTCTACTTACAGCTAATCTGTTACACAAACTTGCGATTCAAATGACAGCGAAAGAGCTGAGCGCACAGCACTGA